TCCCCGGTACCACCAAAAAAAAAAAAAAAAAAGATACAGAGGAATTTGGCACAGAGTATACAAATGGCAAGTTTCTTGCAAAGGGCTAGTGAAGACCATTATACGCTAAACCTACAAGGGGAGAATGGGAGAATATAAAGCCAGTTTGTCTGGATAAGTAATTGAAATGGTGCAGCTTTGATCATGAGCAACTATAGATAGATTCCCTGCTGAAACATTTCTTTTTCAATAGCTTCTTTTATTGCCTAGAGTAGCAGCTATGCATGAAAATGATTATAATCAATTTAACTGCAGCAGTCCTCAGGTTGTAATTATCACCTCAGAGAGGATGGCTTTCCAAAGTGACAGTTATCTGACAATATCCTTTGAGATCCAAATAACAAAATAATCTCCCCTTGATCTTTCTTTGGTGAGTATCCCCTAGAGATATATGAAAGGGGAAGAATAACTTATCCATGAATGTTTGCTGTAAGGTCTTTGAAAAGAAAGGACTGGACCCTTGCACACCAGAACCTTCTTCAGTTCTTATGTCATTGGTAGGAATTTAAGCAATATGAGAACTGTTAAACCAAGGTTAGACAGTAAGTTGTCATTCAAACACCACATAAGTCAGCAGCTAGTGTTGTACAGTAGTGATTAGTGATTCTCAGCCTCTCTCTCTCTTATGTAAATATGAACATTATCTGACAGATAAGCAGGAGGGGTCAAAACCCCTTTCTAGTCAGTTTTCTACAGCAGCTAATTTACATTAATCTTACCTAATTTGGCACACTCTTTGATATGGTGGAAAATATTCTTCACATCCTCAACCATACTTTTTCATTATTCTGCTTCTATTCCTTTTGCCATGTCTTTCACACCCCATGCCAATGTTTACCTGACTATCTCATGATTCAAATTTACCCTTGTCCCATCAAGAACCTCATTTCTTCAATATGAAAATATTCCTTCAGGTCTTGACAGGTATTAGGAACAAACCATATCATTTGACCTAATTTAAATTAAGCCTGGTTTAGTGTGTACCCAACCTATGAAGAGATGTGACATTTACAAGAGGTTTGCTATTTCAAAGGAAGGAGCCTCTAATGGTGAACATTTGGAAAGTGTTGTTAGATATAGGTTGGCAAGGACACTTTATCAACATTCCTAAAATTAAACAATATAGGAAATTTTCCACAGCTGCTGTTCACGTCACTCCTGTACCAACCTTATATACTACATTCTTGTATGAATTTTGCCCTTTCACTAATGAAAGCTTGCCTAGTCTATGACCTTGACTTCTGAAGATCTCATTTGACTGAATGATGCACAGATGTCAATGAATAACAAGCACTTAATACCATACAAATACAAATTATGTGTAACGGACAGAACCAGATGACCGATTACACACAGTAAAGGAAGTAAGAGAGTCAAATATAATCCTGATCTTTTGAGCTTGGCACTAATTCTGTGCTTAATTACGAGCCTTTACCTTCTATTCTTTGTACCTATGCAACTGAGAACAAAGTTTGACCTTTGAGCAATTGCATTAGTTATTTTACCCTAACAAAATAACACTGGGAAGGGAGCTTTATTGCATTATTATGAGAGGGCAGCTTGGCCCCTTAGGTTTTCTTTCTGATGAGGCATTTTGGGAGAGGAAGGATAAGAATCATTCATAAAAACTGTTTTCACACAAATGACATGCCTGTAGTGTTAGAAGAAATCTGCACCATAGCTCTCTATTGCGAATTGTTTGAATTGCCAGCTTTCTTTAAAGCACAAGAGCAGATAAGTAAAGTGAGACACATATCTAAACACTTAGAGAAAAACCTGGAATTCCAAAAGCAATGAGGTGAATAATCTATCTAGCACATATTATAATCAGCTTTTCTTTGTATACTTGTCTGTAAAAACAAAAGAATGAAAGTTCATTAATTTGGCAGACTCGAAAGGGGAGATAGTTAAAATCTTTAGTATAATATTAATAGCTAGTATTTATTAAGCACAGGCAAAATGTCACTTTTACTTGTAAGTTGCTATTTAGTCCTCATACCAACTCTTTAGAAGAGATTTCTATATTTCCCATTTTTCAGATGAAGAAATCGAGGGCTAAATAGGTGAAGTAATTTGTCTAAGGTCACAAAGGCAGAGAGCTAAGATTTGAACCCAGAAAGAGTGTTCTGAACAATTATTTTACCATTTATACCTTTTTCGTAGGACTCTTAGCTTCCTAAACAGATTATTCTTAGCCCTCTAGACTACGAAATCATCTCTCTTTACATATTATTGTACTTAGCCACAAGCTTGGATCACTTTTTCAGCCTATAATTACATATTCCACCTTTGAACTACAAATACCTACAATATGGAAACACAAGAAAGTGCTTTTCTCCACTTTTGATTAAATTTTCTAATATAATTCATCAACCACACATTTCAAAAATATTATCTAACTTAATTTATTACTAATTTTCTATATTTCATGGTGATAAAGCCTTAGAATCATATATGCTGCAATGTTTATGTTAAAATGAGCTTGCCTTTAGCTATATTCTTTTGTATCTATTCATTTCTTAGTGTCATTTAGCAAGATATGTGAAAGAACACTAAAAATATATTCCCTCTAGAATTAGGAGTGCATTCTGTAGTTAGCCTGTTACTTCTCTCTAAATGTATTTATTTCCTTTTTCAGCTCTGTGTAATCTTCAGCCCTTGGAAGCCCTCTTCGTTATTTTACGGGAATCTGCTCCTACAGTCAAGTCCGGTGGATGGTAAAGATAAATGTCGTAATCTGCTAAGCATGTTGGTTTAACATTTTTATGTAGCAAAATCTTCATTCAGTTGGTCCTGCTTCACCATCCTTGTTGAGCATTTTCTAACACTCAATATCTTAACACAAAAGTCTAAATGACCAGTTTTCCTTAAGAGCTAACTAGCCAACTAAAAATCAGTAATATTTTTATACTATATGATGATGGCATTACTGTCGAATCATTAGTGGGTATTTTCAGTTGTTTCCATGGTAATGAGGTGGGCCAGAGGCAACAATTTGCAAAGTTTTCACAGTGCCTACATAGGCAGTCACTAATTTTCATATACAGCACTATTGGTTGTCTCATTATACTAAATATTTATAGACCTACAACAGAAGACTTGTTCTTCCAAGATGCTATAAGTCAGTAAACTTGGAAGTCCTTTCCTCTAATTCTTGTTGAACTAGTACTTTAAGCTCTTGCTTTGTTCTTAGTATTTATTGCTTGAGCTAGTAGAAGTGTTTACTATGATTTGATTGTTGACATTCTTTATAGTTCAAATTAGACCTGTCTATAAGACTTTTGGGTCACATCTGTTTCCACTGGTAATTTTCCAAGATTAGTTAATCCTCGTTAGTTAGAACCCAATTTTTGAGTCATTACATCCATTCCTCTGTAACTAAAACCGAGTATAGTAAGTGAAATATTTAGGCTTCAGGGGATGACTATTCTGAGGCAAGCAATCTGTTCTCACAAACTACATGATGTTATATTAACCACTTAACTGCCAAATGACCATGTGAGTTTTTATCACGTACACCCTGCTGAGCTAATTGATTTTTCTACTATTATCTGGGTAAAATGCTGTTGACTCTGTATTCTTAAAAAAAAATAACCTCACTGTATAATGTATATCAGGGAACTGCAGGATATTTGCTAATTGAACAGACTCTCATGGCTAGAGATAACTCTTTCCAAAAATATGACCTTCAGAGTGGCATGTATCTAGGGAGAGAAGATATGTGGCAGGCTGGAGAATATTCCTTTATCTGTTTGCTTCATTTCTTTTAGGTCTCGAAAGTTCCACAATTTTATGGAAAAGTGCATGATAAAGAACTTCTTGTTTCGTCCTACCTCTGCAAACATGCTTGTTCACCCATTTGTTCAGGATATAAAAAATGAACAACATGTTGTTGAGTCATTAACAAAACATCTTACTGGAATCATTAAAAAAAGACAGAAAAAAGGTAGAATTTGAGAAGTTTCATTTCATTGGAATAAATATTTAGATGAAAATAAAATCTATTTATGTATTATGTTCAAGGAAAATATTTTTTAAGAATTAGATTGAAAGTAAAACTTCTGAGGCCTTTACAGTTAGTTTTTCTAATAATTTTCTCTTTTATTCAATTGATCATTTCTTGCTCAGTTCTATATGAGGTTATTCACTGAAGCCTGTTATATTTGGCAAGTATTTATATATACAAAGAAGTTGAAAGCCGTAAATACAATTTTATGAGGTGGCAATATTATTGCAATTTAACTCATAACTAAAGATAATTTAGTTGACTCTAGGAGGAAAGTGGATTTGTAATTAACCATTTATTAACTGCTAATTTTGATGTAATGTTTGTACCTATAAAGCCTCGTTTTACCTACTAATCACTAACTATGAGATGTAATTAAAGAAACTAATATGGACAAATATAAATGAGTTTCTATTAATGCTCAGAATGACAGCACAGATTGTCTCCAAATACAGGGGAAACTACTTGAGAAACTCTAATTTCATGATTAGGTACATATTCTACATTTAATTTCTTAGATCATGCACAGGGTCCAGAGTAACTAGGGAGTGGATCATGTTTTGTTTTATTTTTGTACCAGGGATTGAACTCAGATCCTTGTGCTTGCAAGGCAGGTGGTGGAACCACTGAGCTAAATACCTGGCTCTAACTAGGGTGTGGAGAAGGGGAAAGTTAGACACATAGCAGGCATCCTCAAATCAGCTGCAGGATTTATTGCAATGCAATAGTGCTTGTTCCATCTGCATAATTATACTCATCCTGTTTTCAAATGAAGTGAAGCTAGACTAATTTATATACCTTTGGCAATGAAGTCATTGAACCAATATCACAGAAGCCAACCAGGCTAAAATGGGAGTAGCAAAATCACACAGCTACTTCATAATTTACTGATATCCAGAGATGCAAGATTCCCAGAATGTTACCTACAGGCAAAGTCTAATTTATATAGTGATTACACTGAAGAAGTAAATATACTTGTCCTAAACATTTTAATGTAGGACATTCAAAAGAAATCTCTTGTTTGTAAGCTTCTATTTTTCAGTAGTTATAACATAGCATGAGAGAAGCTAAATGTTTTCAAATATATTAGGTGGAAAACCAAGAATTAAGATTTTACCTTTTCCTTGAAAATATCAAAGATCAATTTCAAGTCATAAAGTCTTTACCGGTGGAGCTCACAGTTGTAAGCCATGCCCACCAGACATCTGGAGTTTCTCTTAACCACTGTTTTTTTCCTTTGTCGCAGTAATTAGTTTGCTAATTTTTTCCTCATCTTAGATACAGTTATCTGCTTGCAATAGCTGTACTGTGCTGCAAAGTGAACCTAGAATAGTGTCTGTTTGAAGCCAACAAGATGTTTGAAAGGCTATCATCTTTGCTACTTTCAGGTGCAAAACAGCTAAGGTGGACTATGTGTAATTCTACTGAAAATGTATAGATTGTTTATTTTTCTCTTTCATAAAAAGGTATACCTCTGGTCTTTGAAAGAGAAGAAGCAATTAAGGAGCAGTATACCAAGAGAAGATTCAGGTGTGTTAGACAAGTTGCATTATAATTTGATAATAGCAATTGACAGCATGCATTTGCTTCCATACTATTGCCTTTAGTTCAAAACAGCTTATTCCTGTCTGAAACACCAAATATCAGATCTGTTTCCATGAGATATTGACTCAAATTTTTTTTATTACTACCCAAAGCCTCTTTAGTATGTGGCAATAGAATGATCTACAAATTATTAGACTCCATTAGTAATTTGATATATTGACATTGCAAATATTATCTGCAGGAAATTTCAGACATTACAGGAATTATCCCAAAAAGATTTACTGAAAATATCCTTTGGCAATAAATGTCTCTTTTAAAATAAAAGCAATTTCCCTGAAAGGTTCCATTCTACTGCAAATTCTAATTTGTGTGTGTGTTTTTTTTTTTAATTTCAGAGGACCCTCTTGCACACGTGAGCTTCTGAGATTGCCAACAAGCAGCCGATGCAGACCACTTAGAGTACTGCATGGAGAGCCCTCTCAGCCAAGGTGGCTTCCTGATCAAGAAGAGACACAGGTCCAGGCACTTCAGCACCTACATGGAGCAGCTAGGGTGTTTATGCCACTACAGGCTCAGGAAAATACACATAGGCCTCTAGAAGGGCAGGCCCAGGCACCTCAGCGACTACATGGGGCAGCTCAGGTGTTCATGCCACTACAGGCTCAGGTTAAGGCTAAGGCATCTAGGCCTCTGCGCATGCAGATTAAGGCACCTCCCAGACTATGGAGGGCAGCCCGGATGCTCTTGCCGCTACAGTCTCAGGGTAAGATACTTAGGCCTCTACAGGTACGGGCCTCAGTACTTAAAATGCAGCAATCTCAGGGTCAGGCACAGACCCAGGAATTAAAACAACCACAAGACCTAGACCAGGTGCCAGAGGAATTTCAAGGGCAAGGTCAGGTACCTGAACAAGTACAAAGACAAGGCCAGGCTGCTGAACAACAACAGAGACAGGACCAGGTTCCTGAACAGCATCTGGAGCAGAACCAGGAACCTGAACAGCCAGAGGTACAGGAGCAGGCAGAGCCTGCACAAGTAGAGACAGAGGCAGAAGAACCTGAGTCATTAAGGATACATGCCCAGGTGTTCCTGCCCCTACTGTCACAGAGCCACCACGTGCTGTTGCCACTACATTTGGATACTCAGGTGCTCATTCCAGTAGGAAGGCCAACCGAAGGGACACCTCAGGCACACTCCTGGACACTAGAGCCCTCACAGGCAGTTAGCGCAGTTCAAGAACTGATAGATGGACTATCAACACACCTGCTTAGAGCACCAAACTCACATAACTCAAAGCCACTTGGTCTACTGCAAACCCTGATGGAAAACCTGTCATCAGACGTGTTTTACTCTCAACCAGAAGAGTCAGGGAAAAAAAAATCCAGGGTTTCTAGTCTAAGGCAAGCACTTGCAAAAAGATTGTCACCAAAGAGGTTTAGGGCAAAGTCATCACCCGAGGAGCTTGAATGTTCATATGTAGAAGCCCGGAGGCACAGGCGCCGACGCAGATTGGAAGGCATCTTAAACGAGCATGAGGAGAATTTGAGCCAATTTGAAATTGTAAGAGTTTTGATGTTTTTATTCACTCAAAAATGCAGAGAAAATGTTATAGTTCATGCTAATGTTTTCCTCTATAAAATCTAATGCTTTTTAAATTAATTTCAAAGGTACATTTAAAGTATATAATATGATGACATTCATCATTAGAAATTTGCACCTTTATATAATCCATCTTGGTTCTTATTTTTCCCCATTCCCCTGCCCTCCCTTCAACCCCTCCATCCCTCCCTATCTACAAAGACTTTATTTCCATTTTTCTCAGGTTAATTCCATCACCTGCTTTATTTTCCTCTAACCCTCCCACCTCCCCTTCCCCTTTGCACATTTTCTTCTTATTTCACGTTATCTATTATACCTTTTAATCCTTATTTACACTTTCAGTTTCTCACACCAGAGAAACTATTGGGAATTTATTCGTGTGCATCTTCTAATCCATTCCACTGGTCCTCAGGTCTGTTTCTTTGCGATTACAATGCTGTTTTATCACAGTAGCTTTGTAATATAGTTTCAAATTGGGGACTGTGATATCCCCTACCTTGTCTTTGTTGCCTAGAATTGCTTTTGCTAATCTAGGTCTCTTCTTGTTCCAAATTATTTTTTGGATTATTTTCTCAAGGTCTATGAAGTATGCTGCTGGGATTTCAATTGGAATTGCATTGAATCTATATAGTAGTTTTGGAAGTATGGCCATTTTCACTATGTTGATTCTTCCTACCCAGGAGCAAAGGATGCATTTCAATTTTCATATGTCCTTTTCAATGTCTTTTTTCAGGGTGCTATAGATATCATAGTAGAGGTTTTTATTTATTTTGTTAGGATAATTCATAAGTATTTCAATTTTTTGGATGCTATTGTGAAAGAAATTATTTGCCCGATTTCTCTCTCAGTGAGTCTGTAGTTCATGTAAAAGAAAGCTATTGATTTGTGTGTGTTGATCTTGTGTACAGCTACCTTGCTGTATTTCATTATTAAGTCTAGAAGACATTTGGTGGAGTTCTTCGGGTCTTGTATATAGAGTAGTATTCTGTCTGCAAATAGTGACAATTTGACTACATTTTTCTTATCTTTATTCCTCTTATTTCTGTCTCCTGTTTAATTGTTGTGGCTAGTATTTCCAAAACTATGTTAAACAGGGGTGGTGATAGTGGACATCTTTGTTTCATTCCTGATTTTAGTGTGAAGGATTTCAGTTTTTGAAATCTCTATTTAGTGTAATAGTATCTGAAATACTTTATTTAGTGTAATGTTATCTGTTGGTTTTTAATAGATTGCTTTGCTTTTATCAGGTTGTGGTACAGACTACCTATTCCAAATTTTTTTAAAGGTTTTACAATGAATACATGTTGGATTTTCTCGAATGATTTTTCGGTACCCATTGAGATGATCATATGTTTTTTGTCCTTGGCTCTATTAAAATAGTGAATCACATATATTGATTAGCATATGTTGAACTATCCCTGCATTCCTGGGATTAATCCCACTTGGTCAGTGTGTATGATCTTCTTGATGATCATCTGCATTCTATGTGCCAATATCTTATTAAGGGTTTTTGCCTCTATGTTCATTATTGAGATTGCCTATAGTTCTCTTTTTCGGTTAAGTCTGTCTCTGCTTTGGGGATTAAGGTGATGCTTGCGTTCAGGAATGAATTTGGAAGAATTGCTTCCCTTTCAGTTTCACAGAAGAGTTTAAAGAGTAGTGGTGATAGTTGTTCTCTAAATGTCTTGTAGAATTCAGCAGTGAAGGAATCAGGGCCCGGTTTTTCTGAGTTGGTAAACTTTTAATTATGTTTTCAATTTCTTTGATTGATATAGGGTTGTTTAGAATTTTTAGGTCATTTTTGTTCAACTTTGGTAATTCATAAGTATCTAGGAATCTATAAATTTCTTCTGTATATTGCACCTTATTGGTGTATATGTTCTCAAAGTAGGTATTGATGATCTTCTAGACTTCTGCTGGGTCTGCTGTAATTTTACCCTTTTCATTCCTAATTGCATGGATTTGGGCCTTTTTTTTTTTTATAAGGTTGCCTAAAGATTTGTCAATTTTGTTTATTCTTTAAAAAAACATCTCTTGGCTTTATTGATTTTTCTATCATTCTCTTCATCTCTATTCCATTGATTTCTGCTCTTATCTTTATAATTTCCTGCCTTGTATGAGATTTGGGTTTATCCTGCTCTTCTTTTTCTAGAAGCTTGAGGTTCACTATCAAGTTTTTTAATTGAGTTTGCTAATGAGTATTCACTGCTATGAATTTCCCTCATAAGACTGCTTTCATTGTGTCCTATAGATTCCAAAATGTTGTATTTTCATTTTTATTTAGTTGTAGGAACTGTCTGACTTCTTTAATTTCCTCTGTGGCCCATTGGTTATTTAGAAGTGTGTTGTTAAATTTCCATGTTTTTATGAAATTCCTATTCTTTCTTTTCCTGTTGATCTCCAATCAGCACACTATGGTCTGATAATATACAAGGCATAACTTCAGTTCCTTTGCACTAACTTAAACATGTTGTATAAGTGATCATGTGGTCTATTTTGGACAATAACCCATGTGCAGCTGTAAAGAATGTGTACTCTAATTTTATAAGGTGGATCATTCTATAAACACCAGCAAAGTTCATTTATTTAAGAGTTTGAATGAGTTCTAGTACTTTGCTGTTGATTTTTTTGTCTAGTTGATGTATCCATTTGTGACAGTGAGATATTGATGTACCCTGCTACTATAGTATTAGTAATTATTTGATTTTTCTTGTCCACTAGAATTTGTTTTACATAGTTGGACACACTAGTGTTTGGTCCAAATATATTTATGATTGTCATCTCTTCCTCTTGGATTGTTGCCTTAACAAGGATGTAGTGTCCTTATTTGTCTCTTACTCAGTGTTGCTTTGAAACCCACTTGATCTGCAAAGAGGATTGCTACTTTTGCTTTTTGGGTGGGGGGATTCCTGTCACATGGGATAATGTTTTCCACCCTTTCACTTTCAGTATATGAGTTCCTTTTAAAATTAAGTGCATTTCTTGTATGCAGCATATTGTTGGATCTTGCTTCTTGACCCATTCTGCCAGTCTATTTCTTTTGATTGGTGAATTGAGACCATTAACATTGATGGTTATATCTGATATGTATTGACATCATTTTCATGACTTTTTCTTTTTGTTGGATTTTCCCCCTTTGCATATAATTTCTTGTCACGCCTGATGGGTTCATTCTGCTGCGCTTCCTGGTGTTGACATCCTCATTGTCTTTTCCTAGGATATTATTTAAAGTTTTTTCGAATTCTGGTTTGGTATTCATGAAGTTCCTAAGGTACTCTTATTTCTTCATCAATTTTGAAAGATAGTTTTTCAGCATATATCAGTCTGGGCTGGAGGTTGTTTTCCTTTAGGGCTTGAAATATGACACTCCAAACTCTTCTTGCCTTGAGAGTTTGTGTTGAGATGTCTGCTGTGATTTTGATGGACTTTCCTTTATATGCTGTTTGTTTCCTTTCTCTAACTGCTTGTAGAATTATGTTCTTCTGTTGGGTTTCTGAAATCTTGACTATTATATGCCTATGTATAGATTTATTTCTTTATCATGGCTTGTTGGAGTACTATGAACCTCACTTATCTGTGTGTCAGGTTCTTTTCCCCTATTTGGGAAGCTTTCTGCCCTTATGTCAGTCAACAGTTTTTTTAATGTTGTCTGAACTCTTTCCTGTTTCTTCATTAACTCCAATGAGTCTTATGTTATTCTTTTTTTGAATTGTCTAGCAGCTGCTGGGTTGATTTTTCATAGTTCCTAACTATTTTTAAGAATTTTTTCTTTTCCCGATTATTAATTAAAACCCTATCTTCTATATCTGAAATTCTGTCTTCACATTGGCTCATTCTGCTGTGTAAACTTTCAATGGAGTTTTTAATCTCCTGGAAATATGTTTGCATCTGTTTTATGGATCCCATTTGTTTTCCATGTTGGTATTCCATCATGTTCCTTAGCTCTATCTTTTTTAAACTTTGTCTGCTCTAGATTTATTAATCATGTCTTGCACTATGGGCACAATCTCTGCTGTTATCTGAGAAATTACTTCTAATTTCATTTTTTCTAGATCCTCTTTTGTTGCTAGTTCAGGGAGTCCAGGTGGTCGAGTATCAGATTGTTCCATCTTGTTTGCCTTTGGGGTTGCTTTAGGTGATCTGGAAGTCTGGTTTTGAGACGTTTTTACATGTCTTCCTTATTTCAGCAGATGCAAACTGCTGTGCCTTCACTGAGGCAACTTTTTACTCACCTAGTGGTCTTTAATTTTCAGCAATCCACTAAGCAGCCTTTTCTCTTGTACTCATAGTGCACCAATTCCCACATTCAGAATGGTGGTCTTTTGGACGCCTGAGCTGACCTGTTGACTAGGTGGACTTCTGGCTGGGTCCTGTGCACTTTGGATTGTATCTAGGTGTTTCTCTCCATGGGGGCCCTTTGTAACTGTTTTCTGGGAGGGCCTTTTGCTGAGGGCTGTGTATCCCAGTCTCTGATGTCTGATCAGGCTTCTGGCTAGGATCTGAATGCACGTATCATGGCAGGCCTCTGACTGATGTTTGTGCACCCATGCAGCAATATTTTAGGCAGGGCTTTAGATTGTGCACAAGAGGCTGGGTCAAGGCAGAACCCTGGCTAGAAGTGCCAGAAGCCACGCCTCTCTGGTCTACACTGCTGGTTTCTAGATCTGCGTGCATTTATAGATGGTATTGGGGCAGGCCTCTGGCTGATAGTTGTGGACCTGTGCAGCTTTTCTCTGGGCAGGCCTTTGGCTTGGGCCTGTGTGCCCAAGCCAGTGGTGTTGTGGCAAGGCCCCGGCTGGATCTGCCTGCAGCCACACTGCTCTGGTCCACCCTGATACTCACGGAGATCTGCCTGCAGTTAAAATTTGGATCTATAATAATCTACAGATGTTTTATCAGTTCATATATTTGTATCTCAGTGAAGTTGTGCTGTTTATTAAAAACAATACTTATTTAGGATTGGGCATATTGGAACAATTAAACAAATTTTAATTCCTTGGCATGTTTAACACAGCAAGAGAAGTAAAGCGTAAAAAGGGAAACGGATGCCTAGTTTCCAGAATATAATGAAAAAGAAACCAATGGTGGAGCAGGGAGTGGTATGAGTCCAGAATGATGATATTTGCTGAAAATTAGGGCATCTAATATGCTAGTCAGTACTCTTAATGAGTTCTATTAACCATTTAGATATAACAGACTTTGTATTATGAAAAAGACTTTTATTTATCCCTGACAGACTCATGCTGTTACTGGCTTAGCACTGCTTATTGTTATTCATTATTTTCAATATATATGTGGGACGCCATTTTGAAATACAAGAAAATGTCAATAAATAATACCATTACCTTGACTACTGGTTCTTATACAAACATATCTTTATGTGTGGTCCTGAAGGAATGCAAAAAATAAAAGAAAATTATTAATACTACAGTCAAAGGCTTAGGTCTTTTGAAATATCTGAAATTGTATTAGAATTTGGCAACTTATATGAATTTTCCTCTCATCAGCAGAAAAAAAAATCACACTCTTTTCATTGAAGAGGAAACATCAGTTGACCTAAAATAGAAAATAATTTCCTAAAATCTTGAAGCTTAATTAGTGAGGAATGTTTACATCTTTGTGTTACAGGTCTTCCATTGTTCAGAAATCCAAACTTCAGAGTTGTGACAGCTGACTAAATGTGAAAATTAATTTGGGCTTATGAGTAAATCAAACCAGAAATTCTTAATCTTGAACCCATAGATGAGCTTCAAGAAATCAGGACCTTGGCGGCCAGGGATTTATCTCAGTGGTGCTACATCTGCCTCGCAAGTGCAAGGTCCTGAGTTTGATCCCCGGTACCAAACAAACAAACAAACAAACAAAAAGAAGTGAGGACTTCCCCTGAAAATATATGCAAATATATATGTGTTTATATGCAATTTTCTGTAGACAATTTCTGGCATTCCTCAGATTCTGAAAAGAATCCAGATCTAAAAGCTACTAAAACTACTGATTGAAATAATTTTAATATTTGAAAATTATACTTTTAAATTTATTAGGATTATGCAGTTGATTATGATAAATTCCTATCATTTACATTCTAACAACATTTAAAATTTGTACTCATTTTTTTGTTTCAAAGGACAAAGATGAAGAATCATCGGACAATGATGAAGTATTTCATCCAATTCAGGCAGAAGTCCGAGTAGAACAAATGCAGCCAAACATTCCAAATCCTGTAGAAAATGAGGTAAATTTAATATACTATACTGTTATAAAGTAAACAAATACATAGAATAGTGGTTCTGAAACATTTTAATATCAGGATCCCTTTCTAATTTTAAATATTGAGTACTTAAAAAAGTTTTTGTTTATTGTATGGATTGTGTCACTCAACATTTAACTTATTAGAAATTAAAAACAAAAACATTAAAAATACATAGGAATTCATGTAGAATTTAATAAAATTGAAATGTTAATGTAATAAAAATTTTAAAGAAATATGTATATTTTATGAAGGCAAAATTTAGAGATAATGTCATTGTTTTATTTTTTCTGATATCTTTAATCTCTCATGTAGTGGAAAACAGCTGGCCCCTATCTGCCTCTGTATTTAATTTGTATCTTTATGTTGTTCTGATTGAAATATATGAACAAAAATTGGCTTCTCACATATACCCGGTTGTAAAAGGAGAATTTTTTATTGATTTTTTAAGATCATTGTACATATACTTTGTTAATATGTTAGAACCAGAAAATTAGAATCTAAAACCATATCAATGAAATTTTTATAATTAGTACTATTTAAATCCAATGTTAGGTCTTGTGCAATGTATAGGTGTTTTACTTATGCATGAATTTTAACTACATGTATTCATCAGTTGGTAAATATTGTATAAATCTGCCAAAATATGTGCATGTTTCATTATATAATATAAAAAGCAACATTTGTTAATAACACTACCCATTTCAACATAAATGCAATTCATATTTGTTAGCAGAGGTTCAAAATTCTGATTTTCACTTGAAAAATCATATTTTAATCATTGCTAGCAAATAGCATCAGTTTTTCTCTTCAGTTGACATCCTTACTTACTTCATTTAAAATACAGTGTCTTTCAAATGTCCATAGTTTGAGTAATCATAGTTTTTCTATCAGTAATAATTTAAATAAAAATATTTCCCATAAAAATGCTGGTAGTTCATAATCATGCATGTTTTTCTTTGACTGTTTCTGTTCTGGATGACATTTGTGACAGAGTCTGGTTCATTTAATTTCAGGTTTATTTTCTTATACTTCTTGGAAAAACTAATTCAAGCCTTGTGTCCTTGTTGACTTATATTAATATTATCTTATTTACTAGTGCATTGGTGAGACTAAATTTATGGGTTCAACTCTTTTGTTGTTGTTGCTATTTTGTTTATCCATTTATTATTTTTACATATTTGCAGAACATAATGATTGAATTCCTTTTGGTGAGTTGTACATGCATAGAACACATCATAATTCTTTTTTTTCATCACCTCCCCCCATCCATCTCTTGGTCCCTTTGCCTTTTGCAAAAGATCTATTTATTTTCTATTATCTAGCTTTTACTTTTCTGTATTTAGGGTTTCTTATATAAAAGAAATCATGTGATAATAAATGTTGGCAAGGCTGAAGGGAAAATAGAACCCTTCTGTATTATTGGTGGCAATGTAAACTAGTACAGCAATGACAGAAAACAGTATACAAAGTTCTCAAGAACTAAAACTAGAAATTCCATTCAACTCAACTATTTCTCTTCTAGGTATCTTCCTGAAAGAGTTAAAGAGACTATATTACAATGATACGTACACACCCAAGTTTATAGCAGCACAATTTATAATAACTAAATATTGGAAGTAGCCTATTTGTCTATCAACAGATGAATGGATAAAGAAAAATGTGGTGTTTGTACATAATGGAATACTACTCTGCCAGAAAGAAGGATACACTTGAGTCAATTTTAATAAAATGGATACACCTTGATATCATAATGGTAGTTGGGATTGATTCTTATATAGACAAGGCAATATTATCATAGCTAGCCTTCACAGCAGCCAGCCACTGAAAAAACTTTTTGATCATTAAGCAATTAGGTGTGTGAAGAACACAAAGTCTTATTTTATTCAAGATAAGGCAGGAGCCTCACTGTTCCTATCAGCACAAGGCTCTTCTCTAAACTCTGGATGCTTCACGCTTGTCTGCTATGAAATCTTTCATGAGCAGTTCTCCTTTTTAAATAAAACACACTCACATGCTAACATTCTATTAAAATAAATAACTAAGATTATTGCTTTCTAACTACTAATCATGCACAGAAGCAGCATAAATTGGATTGTATTATTTAAATAGGACAATATGTCTTCCTCTGCCCTGGTAAATGGCTTTACTTATATTCTCACATAATATAACATCAGAAGCAAGAAAATATAAGGAGCTGTGTTTTATTTAGAATAAACTATGTGTCTCAGTGTAGGCTATTCTTGCTAATTGTTTTCCTCTTCCCAGTTTTCAAACCAAATACAGCCAACTCATGCAAGGCCTTGCCTTTGTTACTTTTGGCTATTAACTTTGTGTTTACTACTGTCAGTAAACTTCCTGAGCTGGGTGTGATAATGTACCCCTGTAGATCCAGCCACTCTGTAGACTGAGGCAGGAGGATCACTTGAGCCTGGGGAGATCATGGCAGCATATTGAGACAACTATCTCATCAATCAATCAATCTTGAAATTATTATCATAAAATGAGAGATTTATACTGAATTACTATAATGTCAGCTATTTGAATTGAAAGTAGAAAATTTTAGTCAGGCAAAATATTTTAAATATGTATTACCAAATACTTGATTATATTTAGAAACACTCATTTAACAAAAGTGAAAGATTGGTAACAGTATTTTTTTCTTACCAGTTTGTCTTTTGGAGTGTAAAGGCATCCTTGAAAGATCACTTCATAGGAGAAAAATAGTGTAGACGCTCGGTACAGTTTACAGAAACTATAGAGTGGTTTTATTGGCATTAATATATTAGGCAATTTTTAAAAATTGAATCATAGTGAAATTTCTTTTCCACAGAATCTAATGTCACTGTCTCATTGCATGTCAGAACAAATAAAGAGGCAAGGCAATTTCCATGGTCCTGTCTCCTAATGTTTGTAGAAAGTGAATTTGCCCCACTTATGCAAACTGGGTCATTATTTGTGCTCTTTCTTGAGTTTTTGGCTGTATTATAAAATGTATAATTAGTAAAATCTAAGTTAATTCATTTAGAATAAAGATGAAAAAGATTTTGTAACACTATGCCAATATAAATTCTAAATATATATATATATACATATAT